CTCTCCTGGACGACTTCTCGCGCGCCATGATCGCCAACATGGCGGGCGCCCTCACGTGGCCCAACCACCTCGCGCCCGCGCACGGCCCCGTCATCATCCCCAAGCTCACGTCGCGTAGCTACGATCTCCACCGCTGGCGCGACCACCGCCTCAGCGGCGCGGGCAGTGGTTGGGGACCGGCGGCCGCCTTCAAGCCCTGGACAGAACCCGGCGACGCGTGGTGCGCGGCCGAGTCGGAGCGAGGCCGCGCCGCCCTCGGCTTCGAGCTCGCGCGCTTCGTACACCCGGTCGACCTCGTGCTCGAGCACTTCCCGCGGCAAGGGCTGCTGGACGGCGGGCGCTCGGCGCCGAGGCACGTGGAGCTGTGGGCCGAAGTTAGGGCCTGGCACAGCGGCGGCGGCGGCGACGGCGAGGGAGGCGGCGAGTACGACGATGCGACGGTCGCGAGGCGCGTGCGGGACGCGGCGGCCAGGCTGGCGCTGCCGTGCAGCGAGGAGCCGCTGGACGGCGGCGGCGCGGCGCAGGACATGGTTTGCTTGGGGCGCTTCGAGTACGTCGTCGGGGCCGACAACTGGGTGCAGCCGTTCGGGCTGGACGTGCCGATGAGGAGGCTGGGCGCCGTGGCGGCGCGCTACGTGTTGAGGGTTACGGAGAACTGGGGAGGGCCGAGGACTTGCGTGTATCGGGTGAGGCTGCATGGGGATGTGCCGGAGGGGGCGGGTGGGGAGGGGGGAGAGGATGGGGTAGGGAGAAGACGGGAGTGGGGTTGGTTCGGGAGGTGAGGGGTTTGAGCACAGGTTTGCAAATCGGTTATGGGACTGGCGGCGGGATTGTGGTGTGGCATTGTGAATGGATAGTTTCTTCTTTTCCTCTGTGGATGGCGTTGATTGTCTAAGTAGGTTAGGATTGCCCATATGGGCTCACTGCACGCTCAGGCGCTGATGATAATCCGATGATTCCCAATTGTGAACTAAGTTGGGTGTGCGGCGTGTGGTAATGATGCTTATGTGATGGGTTGCTGGGTGAGTGACTGGATCTTAAGTTCAAGATGTCTCCCGGCGGTCTTGTTTTGAATGGATAGTGGTGCTGATGTTCACAGCTTGAAAATGCAGTATGTTGTCATAGCTAAAAGTTTGAGGTAGGTACATTAGAACTACGAGACATCAACAATTAACTAATGCAAGGTCAATATGCTTATAATACCATACGCTAACAAGCGTAGGCCTTGTTATGCCCGTAACACGATAAGTTAACAAGTTTACGATTAACAATATGCTATACTAACAAGCTCGTTTTATAGAACAGCGCAGAATTTTTACCTATAATCTACTTTTTGATGACAGGCAATTTCAAGCTTCAGAAGTACATATCAAATTCTTAGATGAGGGGGAACTTCCCCTAGCTTTTTTAAATGTGCGTCTCTCTTTGCTAGCTGCCATACATGGTCGAAATTCGTATTTATGGCGGATATACTTGTACTGTTCCACGGTGATCTATTATGACATCTAGTATATCCTTGTTACATCGTTATCAGCTTAAGTTCATTTAGCATAACTATTACAACCTTAAGAAGTTTTAGCACTCTTAATTAAAGAAATAAACTAACACGTGTGAATTGTAGACAGACTAGCTGAATCTTTAGGTACTAAGATCATGGATGTACGACTTCTGCAATGACTTCCAAGTCAAGTAGGCCACCTCGTAGCTCAAACCTAAGTTTAAGTCGAGCTTAAGAGCATCTGCCAAGAATGACGTACATCACCTGATCAACTCGCGTCTTAGTGTCTGGATGCGATCAGTCTAATGTAAAAAAGTCGCCTGGGGTTTCTACCAAACTTTTGTCCCTCGCACTTCCTTAATGGTCACAATGAGATTTCAGTCTATCATACGATTTTCTTATAGCAGTCATAGGTATCTCCCGCGAACGGCACTGAGAGAACGCAAATCGCTGGTCAGGCAACTGGACGTTTTCATTCACCTTTAAGAGAGATGAATGCGCCTGTCATCCGACACTATACGTCACTTAGGACTTCTTGGGACTTGTTTAGTCTTCGAGTGTTGCAGTATGGCGGAGTGCTTGGTAGGTTCACTCATCGTAATAGCGCATCATTCTGGGACTCTTCTGCTTTTATTGTCTAATAATCAAGAACCATGGTAAAGCAAGAAAAAGGGAAAAAGCATTTGGTGTGTGTGAGAGTAATTTTGGCCAAGCAACTGACAATTCGATTGTGATTTGTGATGAAGAGTCGCATGTTGAAAGGAAAGTGAAAGAGAACTTAGCCCAGGATCTCCTAGTCTACTACAGTGTGTTTGTGTAATTGCGGGTTAATAGATTTGTTCGACTTTAGAATGTGTACTGTACTGATGCAAATTGCAGGGATAGTAATTAGACTGGAAAGCTGCATCATCCGCGCATCGCTACAGCCCATTGTTTGGCGAAGAAAGTGGGATCACAAAGGCGCTATAATTTGAATAGATAGTTGGTAGGACTATTTACCATATTTCGCCTTGGTTATGTTACCATTTTAAAGCATTCACATGTCACAAGAGAATAGCACGCCAAATAAACGTACAGCGCTTTCGGCTTTCCAGTAATGGTTGCTGTGACACTGCGTGCACCGCATGTGAGCACCTAGAATGCACTTTATAGGAACTGAAAGTTCACCCCAATTAGGAACCTCCATCTACATCCAACTTCTACGAAATCTTCATCTCCATAACACGCCCATTAGACTGCTATTATTATACATCATATATTGTTTTGCTTGGTTTTGGATATAACCCCAGTATCACCCACCAGGGCTAAGTCTGTTGATTACCTTTCAACAGTTTGGACTGCGCGGATGCGTCACTCCGCAGAATATGCCAAAACCGCCCAGGACGTCATAGTTGAAGGTGATTCTGCGGAGCCAGAACCCTTAGCAGCCGACTGGGAAATTCAATACCAACACGACAATGACCAAAGGGGTGATGGTGAGAGCAGTAATGGCTCCTTAGTAGGGCAAAGCTGGCAGTATTTTGGCCCAAGCCACTCTTCAACTTATGGCAACGAGTTGGAGACGCGTTCTTGGAGCTCTCAAGAATCCCCGTGGTCGCACTTTCTGCCCAAGAAGTACGATGCGCCACTGAGATCAGTAAAGCCCAAGCATCAACCTCGTCCCAGCCACGCTAGGCTTTTTCGGAAGACTACTAGGGTGTGTTTCAACCGCAGATTGCCGGCTTCTGGTTGGAAGTATGCTCCGTCGTCATCTCGCGTTAGGCCCGACATCAACCCCCTCCAACCAATCTTTGCCTTCCGTACTGGCTCCACCACTTCTACCTACTGTCGAAGCATCGTAGGCCGCCGTGCGCTTCAAACTTACCTAACTCGCCGGTGGGCTCTCTCAATAGGCAGCCATCGCGCCGCCCAGCGTGTGGTGCTCGATCGCGCTGCCAAACTCATCCAAGATATCTTCCTCATTTGGCGCCAACAGACATTCCAATGGGAACTCGGCAGCCCCAATAGAGTTACGATTAAATTTTCAGGATTGAAATGGCGCCGTATGAACAGGTGGGACACAATTGAAGGGGGCATATCGACGCGTGGAAAAAGGCAACTTTACCCTAGATACAAGCGGGGAGTCAATGTCATCGACAGAGAAGACGGACTCAAAGTTGTCCAAATTCGCGGGGAACAGACTCCGGGGAAGGCTGGAAACATTATGCAGTGGGATGGGGCCCTTGATAACGGTGTGAAGGAGGCCATGCTGTGCTGGACCTCGTGCACCTTGAGCCTTTTAGGGATGGGAAAGTTGGTCAACATGTTCCTTAGAGGTGAGTACCGCTCGATATATTTTGCACCCCGTGCATCGGAATATGGGAAGCGAGCGGAAGAGTCTTACGTGAAAACCTGCTTTGAGCCATCAAGCTGATTTTTGTAGGCCTCATTCACCCTTCTAGCATCACCGAAGTGGAAGCTTTGGTCAAGAATGTGCGGTTGAGCGTGACTGATGGTCGTTTAGACAAAATTGGGGAAGTAAATGGAGCAAATCACGTCCTGTACTGTCTACGCCTCCAACAGACTAGACGAAGGACTAGTCGGCTTGCATTAGATTTGACCGGCGCCCAATTTGGCTGGGCGCACGCCCTGATTCCTTGGTGTCGCTGGAAGAAGACTCATGCTGGGCAACTCCTACGAAGGAAGCCGGTCGGACACCTGCTAGTGAGTGATTTGCGTTGAATTGCTTCACTATTCTAAAACCCTTGCGTTCTAGAAGTGCGTATATTCAATTGCGATAAAACGCGTGCTGATCCTTTATCTCGGCCGATTTAGAATTCAAAATTGGCATTAGCATACAAATTTGAAATGGCCGTGTTAGACAAGTTGATGGAATGTGTATACCAGTGGAAAATTAATACAGGGGTCGATATTGCGGAGATGCTCCGGGTTGATGAGGCTGCTTATTCTGCTGTCCGGGAACATTTCTTGGCTTCTCTGAGAGGGGGATTACATTAGAATAAGGGATTCTCGGATTATAGTAACCATTGAGCTAGCTAGTAATTTAGAATGTTTTTTTTATTTGATTCATGTGGTTGTGTAAGAACAAGGTTCTCTGCCATAGTTGTACGAATGCGGCCGGCCTACCTCGTGTGAGTTCTCTGAAGCACTGTCATGAGCCTAAAAAATGGGGCGTGCCACAGGCTCTATGGCCAGTAGGTTCACAAATACTACAGAAGTAGGAGTCTAATGCAAGACGTCAATAACTTTGCCGGAATTTTACCGGCTAGCTACTTGCGACATGTAGAAGGGCTAACCGCTAGGAAATTTTCAAAAGCATGTAGCGCTTTGTATAATGCGTGAGACCATATATATTTGATCTCAGGCATACCTATCATGCTTTTGTACTACGGTCTGTGTGTATACGGATACGTCTACGGAAACATGTAGCTCTAGAGTTTTTATCTGCCGATTTGTTTGTGTAGATATAGAGAAAATAATTTATCTCTAAACATCAAGCAAAGCGTTGATGGGTTAGTGGTATACTACATCGTTGCCAAGGCTGTTTCGATGTGACCCGGGTTCGATTCCCGGTCGACGCATTATTATTTTGATTTTTTTTATTCTCTGGAGTTCCGGCAATTTCACGGGCTTTTGATATTATTTTCTTAAGTTCACCAAATTTGTATAATTTGTCAATCATTCTAGGCTCAGAATCAGATAGATCCGATAGGTCATTGGCTAGCCAGGTTGAGCATGTCGCGAATAGCAGTAGCTGCTCGCTAGGTTGCCTTCCGCGAACCTTTGCCTTTTGGACTCTTTTCCGGCGACTTTCCGGCGACGTCACCAGATCATTATTTTGCGCCTTATGGATCCCGATTCCCGAACACCTCTGATTTTCTTTTTGACAACGCTCTGAAGTACTTGATCTTCAGACGCATACCTTGGGCGCCCGTCCGGTCGTTGGGGATGCCATTGCATCGCCGACTAGCACGATCTCTCTCTCGCGCCCCTAAGAACCTCTCCCAGCCTTATGCGCGCCTTGCTCTCCGGCCAACTTCTACCCGGCTGTTTCAGCATGCTTGCCGTAGGAATCAGACAGCAAATACGACGATCAAGAATGCTCGCAGCACGGAGCTCTCGCCTGCCGCCGGTGCGAACCGCAAATCCCAAAGCTCTTTTTACGTTCACCGGCCAATCACCTTAGCCAATCGTCCAGGCCCTGAGAGAGGACGCCTCAAAGGGTTTATATCATTTCGACCAGGAAAAGGAAAGGAGCTTCGGCAAAGCATCGTCAAGTTCTTGCCCGAGCTTCGGGGCGCTCTAGAGCAATCGCTTGGTTCTCAGTTCAAGGAGCAAATATTCAAGGATTGGAGGAATGACTTGCGGAAACGACTAGAGACACTGGGCGAGAGCGCAAAGCCGCTGCATGGGCGCAATATTACGTTTTGGGAGGCTTACCATGAAGATCCAGACGTCCTTAGGTCGCTCTTGCACGGAGACTTTCTCACTTATCACTTGTCGCAAGCGTCCGACCGGCTGAAAAAGCAGGCCCAGGCCCGACTGGCGGACCTGAGGTATCCGACAGAATGGTATCCAGATGCCAGACGATACCAGCGCAACATACATTTGCACGTAGGACCCACCAATTCCGGCAAGACATACCACGCGCTTAAAAAGCTGGAAGAGGCTGGGTCGGGACTCTATGCCGGCCCGCTGCGCTTGCTAGCCCACGAGGTTTACACGCGTATTAATGCGACGGGGAGACCATGCGCGCTTGTCACGGGCGAGGAGAAACGGGTGCCGGAAAGTAACGAGCCGTTCAGAATGGCTAGCTGCACAGTGGAAATGGCAGTGACGGGCTCCGAGCTGGATGTGGCCGTTATCGACGAGATCCAGATGCTTGCCAGTCGGGATCGGGGCTGGGCGTGGTCGCAGGCATTGTTCGGGCTGAAGGCGAAGCAATTGCACCTATGTGGCGAGGAACGAGTCGTACCCATAATAAGGGAATTCGCCGCCGCTATGGGGGACAAGCTTCATATTCATCGCTACAAGCGCCTATCTCCGTTGGACATGGATGCGAGGAGCCTCAATGGCGATTTACATAATCTTCGCAAGGGAGATTGCGTGGTGTCTTTCTCAGTGATGGGAATTCACGCCTTGCGGAAACAGATTGAAGATTTGACGGGAAAGAACGTGGCCATGGTTTACGGAAGCCTTCCCCCAGAAACCAGAGCGCAGCAAGCGCGACTTTTCAACGACCCTGACAATGACTACGATTTTCTGGTTGCTAGCGACGCAATTGGAATGGGCTTGAACCTGTAAGTGTGCATTTACCACTCCTAGGCCTCGTGCACAATAGAGGAAACCTTTCAATAGCTGAAACTTGATCGTTCTAGAAACATCAAACGCGTCGTCTTCGAATCATCAAGCAGATTCGACGGAACGAGACATAGACCGCTCATGGTCTCTGAAATGAAACAGATAGCTGGCCGAGCAGGTCGCTATAAAGTGGCACCCCAGGAATCTACGCAACGCAAGTCCAAACTCTCTGAATCAATTACGCAGAAAGACGGCTCGGAGCAACAAGAGCAAGCTACGGGGCTAGTAACGACGCTTGAAAAGTTCGACTATCCCATGATTGCACATTCCTTTCACTCAGAACCCGAGCCACTCCTCACCGCAGGCATCTTTCCACCAGTCGAAATTATCGAGCGGTTCGCATCTTACTTTCCTCCCGGGACTCCTTTCAGCTACATTCTAGTCCAACTGCACGGGATCTCCTCACTGCATCGTCGCTTTCATCTATGCGATCTACGGACTAAGCTTCAAATTGCGGATGTGATAGAACCGGTGAAAGGTCTCGAGATCGCCGAGAAGATAGTTCTTTCAAATGCCCCTTACACAGCGCGGGACAACGCATTGAAAGCGCTCTTCCGCGAATTGGCGTACTGCGTCGCAGAGCGTAGACCGGCGTACATTCCCGACCTCAAGGCTCTGAATCTTGAGATTCTGGACCGGCCCCCGACTCAAAGTCGGGCGTACTTGCACGCTCTCGAATCCTTGCACAAAGGCATCGTACTGTACTTGTGGTTGAGTTACCGGTTTCCTGGCATCTTCGTTACGCAGCCGTTAGCTTTTCACGTGAAGGCCCTAACGGAGAATGCTATCGAGCAGACCTTAAGCAAGCTTTCGTTCACTGAGCAGGGTCGGCAGAAAGCGCGGGAGAGGAGAGAGAAATCTGTGCTGGAGAGTCTGGGGAAGGCTTTGGAGAATGAGAAACGAATTAAGGAGATGGTGAGAAGCGGAGATGAAGATCGCGGTGCAGACTCAGCTGAGACAATGGACCCGGCAGATGGTGACCCGTTGGCGGGTGCCGACATGCAAGACGATCAGGGTCGAGAAACTGGTGGCGAAGACATTTCACCGGCAGACGACTACGACGAATACCCAGAAGATGAGACGGAGCAAGCTAGAGACAGCAATGTTGAGGACGATGATGAGGAATCGTGGAACCCAGAGGATTTTGACCAGAGTCCGCCGGAAGCGCGTAAAGAAGCGCGTATGGAAGACGTGCCTCAAAAGTTCAAGGCTGATGACTTGCCGGACCTCAAGCCGAGTAGTAGCTGGGAGGTTCACAAAGGGCAGGAAGGTGAGCGGCTGTACGCTGATGGCTTCTCGTTGGATGGCCCCGGGCCGCGAAAGAGCGATGTCACTGACGAGGAGGTTGAACCGGACGCGAAAAAAGAGCAACAGCAATCTCAGAATCGCAAGCAGGGCGATTAATATTGAAAAGGATAAACGTTGTGCGTTAATGTTGTATAGACTAGTGGTTCTGGAGGCTTTTTCTAAGGCACAGGGTGCACATTGTGCTCGTGCTTGTAAGATAGGGGGTGGTATAGATAGTTCATGTAGACTAAGTAAACCCAGGACTTTCCACGCATAACATCATGCGATTATCTGTATTGTGGGCTGTATGAATAGGGTCTAGCTATTAAAGCGAAGTCACATGACCGCGGAGCGGACGATGAGACGGTGGAGGCCAAGATGGGCGAGCGAGCGGGGCGGGAAGCGCCCCGCTGCGACGCTGTAACGCCGCAGCGCCGCGCCTGGCAACTGGCAAAGCGAAACACTTTGGCCACTTAGCCGCACCTTCTTCCTTCCCCAACTCTTGCCCTACCACTACGAGCGGAATTGCTTCACGACATCTTCGTGGCTCTACAAGCACCACACAAGCACCACGCAAGCTGCGGAACGGCGACCCTTGACCTCTGCGAGGCTTGACCGCTGCCTAGGCACCAACACGTTACGGCCCAACCAGCGCCTCGTAAAGCGCACGCGACCGCCGCTCGTCAGTCCTGTTGTCCAGAGCCCGAGAGCGCGCGTTGAACCGCAGCAGAGTCGCCGGTGGCTCGGACGCTCCCGGCCATGGGCGTCTCCATAATAGATGTCCAGCGGGACAGTAAGTTCCGCACACACAAGCAAGTCGCCGCTACCGCAAGCTCATAACGAACGTCGCGCATAGTAATCCTCGACCATGTTCGAAACACAGCGCGAGGAGAAGTACGTCAAGCTCACTATCACCACGACCGGCGCAGAAATACCTAACCTCAGGGCCTTGTAGTGGAAAGTTCTCGTGCTCGACCAGACCAGCAAAAAGCTCGTCGACAATGTTGTCAAGGAAGACGACATCCTGAACCACAAGATAACAAGTGCGTTGGAGAAAGTCCAAACAATTCCAGCAGGTTTGACATGCGTAGCTAACTCGGGCACAAGACATCGAGTTGATTGAGGACCGGCGACCAATGAACCAGGATATGGACGTTGTGTACCTCCTGTCACCTCAATCCCACATAGTCGACTGCCTGATGGCAGATCTCGATCGTCGCAGGTACCGCCGCTCATACCTAATATGGACATCATGTATGGAATTCTCTTCTCTAGGTTTTTGTTTAGGTCCATAGACTGATTGTCTGTCATAGTGCTTCACCCGTCGTTACGAGAACGAATAGAAAGGTCAAGCTTTGCTAGGGATCAGATTGTGCTTTTCAGGGTGATTAACATAGACTATTACCCCCGAGAATCGCACCTGGTCACCTTCCGCGACCCGTGGAGCTTTCCGACACTATTCCATCCCGCGTGTAATAATCTGGTGCGGCAGCATTTGGAGGACTTGGCGCAAAAGGTTTCAGGAACCGCCGAAAGCTGGCATGGAAATGCGCTTTTCTAATTCTATAACAGATCGTATCCGTTTGCGTTTCGTTAGGCGAATACCCGACAATTCGATACTATCGTCCACAAAACCCTAACCATGAAGCTGCTGTCCTTTGCTCACATCTCGCACGATTCGTACAAGAGGAAATGGATATGTACGCTCAATACCACGCCGATTTTCCTCCTCAGACGAATAGGCCACGCGGTGCGTTGTACATCACGGATCGTTCAATGGACCTTTATTCCCCATTTCTCCACGAGTTCACATACCAAGCGATGGCGCACGATTTATTGAGGATCAAGGACGGGGATAAAGTTACCTACAAAACGGTGGTCAACGAGGGAAGACCAGATGCCGAGGAGAAGGAGATGGAAATCGGCGAAAAGG